ATTCCCCCCCCGTAGGTGTGCGCAGCGCCTGTGCTCCTCGGCGTGGGGGGACACCATCTTCGCCCTCTCCTCGGGCCACGGCCGCTGTGGGGTGGCCGTCATCCGTGCCAGCGGGCCGGGGAGCCGGGGGGCCCTGCAGAGCCTCACCGACCCCCCCGAGCTGCCCCCGCCCCGCGTCCTGGCCCTGCGCCGCATCCGCGACCCCGACACCGCCGAGACCCTCGACCGCGGCCTCGTCGTCTGGTTCTCAGGTGGGCTCCGCATCGGCTCCCGGTGCCCTATGGGAGGGTCTCGGTGCATGGTAGGGGGTCTCAGTGCCCTGTGGCGGGGCCTCAGTGCCCTATACGGGGGTTTCGGTGGCTGGTAGAGGGTCTCGGTGGCCTATGGGGGGGTGTCAGTGCCCTATATGGGAGTCTCGGTGCCTTGTGAGAGGTTTTGGTGCCCTATATGGGGGTCTTGGTGCCTGGTCAGGGGGTCTTGATGCCCTCTGAGGGGGGTCTCAGTGCCCTATACAGGGGTTTTGGTGGCTGGTAGAGGGTCTTGGTGCCCTATGGGGGGCTCTCAGTGCCCTATATGGGAGTCTCAGTGCCTTGTGAGGGTTCTTGGTGCCTGGCAGAGGGCACCTGGTGCCGTATGGGGGGGTCTTGGTGCCTGGTAGGGGGTCTTGATGCCCTATGAGGGGGGTCTCAGTGCCCTATGGGGGTTCTGGGTGCCTAGTGAGAGGTCTCAGTGCCATATGGAGGGGCCTTGGTCCCCTATGGGGGGTCTCAGTGTCCTATATGGGGGTTCTCGGTGCCTAGTGAGAGGTCTTAGTGCCCTATGGGGGGGCCTTGGTCCCCTATGGGGGGTCTCAGTGTCCTATATGGGGGTCTTGGTGCCCTATGGGAGGGTCTCAGTGCTGAGTGAGAGGTCTCAGTGCCCTATGGGGGGGCTTGGTGTCCTATATGGGGGTCTTGGTGCCAAGTGAGAGGTCTTAGTGCCCTATGGGGGGCTTGGTGTCCTATATGGGGGTCTTGGTGCCAAGTGAGAGGTCTTAGTGCCCTATGGGGGATCTCCAGAGCCCCTCAAAAGCCTCTATGGGGTGAAGCATGGATGTTGCCATGGGAAGGGAAGGGATGGGGTGTACCGGGGTTGGGGGGGGGCCGCCATAACCCCGATCCCACAGGTCCCCAGAGCTTCACCGGGGAGGACTGCGCCGAGCTGCACGTCCACGGCGGGCCGGCGGTGGTGAGCGGGGTGCTGCGGGCGCTGGGTGAGGCTCCCCCCATCCCTTCTCCCCTCATCCCCATGGATCTTTCCCCCCGGGGTACCGCCGGAGCCCCCCGGCTGGGGGCAGGGGGCTCACCCGGGGGCTGGCAGGGCGTTTGCCCGGGCTCCGTCCCGCCGAGCCCGGGGAATTCACTCGCCGAGCTTTCCGCCGCGGGAAGCTGGACCTGACGGCGGCCGAGGGGCTGGGGGACCTCATCCGCGCAGAGACAGAGGCCCAGCGGCGCCAGGCGCTGCGGCAGATGGAGGGGGAGCTGGGCCGGCTCTACCAGCGCTGGACCGAGACCCTCACCCAGGTATCAGGGCGGCGGGAGGAAGGTGGGCTTGGATGCGGCCACTCAGGTTCCTCCCCTTGGTGGCTTGGGGATACGGGGCTGGGCTGACTCCCCCGCCTCCATCCCCTCCATCCCCATCATCCCCTCCATCCCCATCATCCCCTCCATCCCCATCATCCCCTCCATCCCCATCATCCCCTCCAT